AGGTACCTTTTTAAAAAACAGGTGAAAATATTTGCTAAGCTTAATACTATTCTTTATCACAGTTGAGCCTAGAGGTGCCAGCTTAGATTGTTCCAATTGAGCAAGTGTTACTAAGAAAGGGGACCAGACAGACTTATGTCCTACTTTTGATGCTCTTTATCTACACATTATGCATCTTTTTTTTCCTTAGGTTTTATGTTCAGTGTATTTACAGCTGAATGCCTCTGCCAGTCCTTTACGTCCCATGGTCTCTTCTGACTACCTGCTGTTCTTGTAGACCCCAAAAGCAGCAACGAAAACAAAGTATATACAAAAAACCCCAAGGTGTCATTTAAGCAGAGCTGTTTCTCAAGAAATTTTTAATATGCGAAAAATGAAAGCAGCAAACTTACTTGGGTATTGATGGTAACGCTCTTTCACCTTCTGTGTAAAGAGGAGAAAAAAAAGGATTAAAATTTTATTAAAGTTTCCAGATAGCCTCTTTCATTGTGCAACAGATACATGCATTAAATATTAATCTCCACAATCTCCCAGGCAAGCGATGTTGATTCAAAAGACTGTTCTAAACTTCTCTCATCAGCAGCATTCAACACATCTAACCAGGGATATAGAACTCCTGATAAAAATCTTCTGAGAAGAAAAATGTACCAAAATATATAACCTCCTTTTTTATTCATGAGAGTTTTAACTCTGATAGATCACCTGCACAAGGCAGGACAGGATCTCATCTCTCCTGATAAATGCTTCCCTTTTATCTTCAAGATGCACTAAGTACTAACATAAATAAAATTATTGAAGTGAACTGGAACTCCCAGACAAGACAACTGACATAAATCATTAACTTACACAATGTATTACACCAGTTTCATATTTGGTTTATACTATAAAATAGTAATGCTTAGTAGCCAGGGATGAACTTTGTTTTTTACAAGCTGTTCAAAACATATTGGGTATAAATGCTTGGATGTAAACAATCAAAGTAACTGTTTTTCCTGATCATGAGACACACGGTATCCATGTGGGGGAGGAGGATGGGGACATTACTAAGCCTTTACTAAAGGCTTTACCAACAATTTACGGTCAACTGAAATATGCAGTGAAGGAGAGGGCAGGGTCCCGCGAGCAGTGATAAAGCAATCGAGAGCAAACGAAGAGCCACGTGACTAGACACACCGTTCTCATAAAATCTTGTACATTGTAGAGGGCTTTTTGCCTTCCTGTATTTCAATTCCTGGAATTTCCAGACCTTTTAAAAGCAAGCTACAACCTCACAGCTGCATGCTCCGGGACAGAGGGGAGCAAGGTCCATGACCATGGGATGTGCTCTCCATGGCAAACCACAGTATTTTGCTACACTTATCCGAAATCTAAGTGACATAGCTGGGTGACAGAGCAGCATGGGGTTGGTTTAAGCCTATTTGGAGCAAAGTTTCAAAGATTAACGACACTATCGGCGCTGCCTGTTACGGTCATTAAGATCCATTCTTAGTTTCCTACAACACTGCTGCACTTTTCCCAACCAGGGCACTGGTTTCCATGCTGAATTTCTCCTGCAGCCTCCTGGCTTATTTTTAGGGGGCAGGTCAGATATTCACAGTGTTAAAGGAAAGGAAACAAAAATCCATATATTTTATTTTGGGAAATTGCCTGAACCTCTTTGATGGTGCAAGGATGCACTTTAATTTGATGTGAAGTGGTGGCTGTACCAGAATGTTTCCTTTTACCAGCTCAGTGAAAGTATGTCTGATTTTGGTCAAGGAGAGGAAAGCATTGTGAAAGGTGTGGGAGAGCAAGAGCATTTGGGAAAGGAAATCAAAGGCAAAGATCCTGGAAGGAGAAGCATGGGATCAGGAGCTTCCAGAAGCCTGGCTCAAAAAAGATGAGTGGGGAGAAGAGGGGAGAATCCAAAAGAGAGATTTGAGGACGAGTAGATCTGAGGCAGATGGACCTGAGCCAAAGGCATGAGACTGGGAGGAAAAGGCACAGAAGTGTGGTCTGGTCCTGCACAAGCCTCCCTGGGACTGCGATTAAGACCCAAGAACCTGCACTCTCGCCTGATCTCCACATCCTAGTCCATATTCTGGTACCCAACTGAGACTTAGCAGTGGATTTAGTGGTTCAGATGGTGCTGAGGAATCGTGTGTGTCGCTGATAAAACACACTCGCAGTCTTGTTACTAAATTTTACTAAAGGTTTATGAAACGATGCACATGTAAAAACTTCTCTGTCAAAAGGTTACTAAATTGCAAAGTTAAACTCCATTTCTATATTTCTAAATCAAGATAACTGGGGCTTAATTAGTAACCAGCTATTCCAAATAATTTTCTTGGCCGTTCACTATGTAACTCCATGACACACTAAATATACATTATTCAAACTATATTCTAAAGATTAAATTTTTAACTGTACTCTCTTGTTTTTGGTACAGGACACATCAGTATCATATCTGAGAACTTGGGAAACAACAGTGAAGTATTCCGTAACACTGTACAGACACGATATTTTATATGCTCAAATTTGCTTTATATGTTCCTCCTGCTTTCAGTTTCTCATCGGATTGTGCAGCTCTCTTGCAAATGCAGAGCTCGATGCCTTGAGAAAATGAGAAACAGCCTTATGTGCAACCGCCAGTGCAAGCTGAAGTCACTTGTAAGTATCAAAAAGGATAAAAAAGATAATGATAGACTTTGAATTTCCAGAGAAGGATTAAATTGCCCTCACCATGAGATCTCCTATGCGGTTTCTCCAAGTCTGTTTCATTTACTGAATACCTTTCTATCAGGGCAAGATATAAAGCAAGGATCCCACCAAAACATCTCTTTTCCTATAAAATACCAATTCCATTTTTGGGTAGACCATTTTATGCATGTTATGAGAGAAGGAGAACATGAGAAGAAGTGGTAGTAAGTAGTAAGGGCAATAGTGGTAGATAGTTAATGAGTAATAACACAAGAAGGAACCGAGATTAAACAAGTGCGTCCCAATTTCCTGATTAACATTCCCTTGGATCAGCAAGAAATAGGCCCAGACCAAGGGTTCCGCACATGAAACGGTTGCTGATCTTAGGATGAAGGTTGGGATGAAGGACCATAATGGAACCGGCCAAAGGCAGGAGGAACAGACAGTAAAAACAGATCTGCACTGTGTAATACAGGCGCAAGAAATTGAGGATGCCTGGAAAAGTGGTGCAAGGAAATGATGGGTAGGCACAGAGAGGTATGCAGAGACTCCCGGCCAAGTTAAATAAGTTTCCAGATAGTTTAAAAAAAAAAAAAACATGTCTTAAGTTCCCAGTGTGATTAAAATCCCATCACTCCCGATTATCTTCCTTTCTGCTGTCCCTTACCATCCACATGCCACAGAGGACAAAATTCATTTTATTCTCCCTTTGGTGTGAAAAAAAAAATATAGGAAAGGAGCCTGGTTTTGACAGGTCTAAGAAGAGCTGTCAAAACTGGGCTCCTTTTGCTTGCAATCTCCAAAAAGCAGCGCTATCCAAGAGTGCTTTTAGCCTTACCTGAGCAGCAGAGCGATGCCGCCCCAGAGAGAAGATGCAGAGAGAATTCAGATGGAGACTTGCAGTAAATGAATTTACAACAGAAAGGGAAGACGAAAGCTCAAAGAGGACGAAAAAAGATGCAACGCTTCGATCCAAAGGTGGTGCAAGGATTATTTTCTGATAAGCCTTACATAATTAGAGCTCGCTGTGGGAGGGCTCTGGGCACGCAGCTCATGGTGGCAAGAGCTCTCCTGCAGAATGTCTGACTAATATGTTGTGAATTGCTATGGAATAAATAAATAGAAAATCCTCAGACAAGAAAACACAACTTATTTTAAATGCACAACAAATGCTTTAGGTCAGCCTGCAGCTAGGAAATCCTAGCTTAAGGAAAAACACACAAAAATGCAGTTTATTTAAGGGATTCTCTTCATGTTTGCAAAAAGAAGTCTTTTAAGCACACTTCCCAAAGTGCCATATAATGAATGTTCATTTTACTGAATCACTGCTCATTTGCTTTATGTGAAAATACCCTGCAAATATCATACAAATAAACCCATTTCAGTCCATGCCTTGATTGGTTCTGCATTAGTGCCTACAGGCAAACACAGTGCAAGATACAGTGGTGCTTAGGACTGTGCAACACACAGGAAAACCAGAGGTCTTCCCTTCAAGAGCTTAGTGACTCTACGGGACAAGATACAGCCGGATGACAAGTCAGGTCAGAGGAAGACAGCGTTAGAAGGAAACAAATTGAAAATAATTAAAGGGTGGCTCTATTTTTATCGCCACTTAGGTCAATAACTCAGGACTCATTTGCCCTGCGTGTCTTAGATGGCAGGTAATTGTAAGCACCGTGGAAGAGGCTGGAAATTAAGGAGGACAAAGGAATTTTCATAGGGATGTTGACGGGGATGTTGTTTCCCTGTTGGGCGACAGGAGCAGAGGGGAGAGCAGAGCAGGGCTTGGCAGAGAACTGGAAATGCAGGTGCCTGGGGCACAACACGGCGCTGGCCGCTTGCGCAGTAGGTGAACAGAGACGAGGTTTGATGATGAAGGCTTTAACGACCCCGGGGTTGCTACTGGGAAAAGCAGAACTGCAATAATCACCCTGAAAGAAAACAGCAGCGGCATCTGGGGTAGTTAAGAGCGTTTACACAGAAGTGGCAGGAATTGGTCAAAAATATGCCTCAAAAAAGAGAACAGAGGATGACAACATCAGCAATAGCCCTATCCATCAACCTGGGATGAAATTAAAATTTGAGGGCTTTGTTTTATTTTTAAAGGAACAGTTAACTGGCCTTATCATTGATTCTAGTAGCTCATCCTTTTCTTCCAGTGTTGAGTTTTGGTGCCAATGGTTCATCCTCACCCTAGATTGGCCCATAGAGCGGCATTTGTGCAGCAGATTTGCAGCTACATGGAGAAAAGGCTGCAGGACTAACACAAATTCTAACAAAGCTGCTTGTGCTGGAGCTACAAGTTAGCTGTACATATTAGATTCCAAAATAAGAAAGGGTACACGGAGATTGCAGAGCACAAGCAGGATGTTAATTATGGAAAGACTTGAATGATGTCAATGCTATTACCCAACTGGAACAACCAGCTGGAAAAAAAAAGGTGGTACAAAAAAAGCAAGTGCATGGCTAGAGGAAACTTCAAATTTTAGAGCTTCTGCTTCGTAACAACACCCAAAAATGCCCAATTTTGTACTTATACTTGTGAATGAAAAGGGTAACCAGCACGGCTATTTTTCCAGTATTGAACAAAGCGTTCAACTGAGGCACTCAACTCATTGCCGATGATATCAGTGTTTTAGCATCTTTCTGCGATGATGCATGTGCTGGCTCTTGTATTACAAACACAGAAGAGTTTATTCCTTGTTTCAGGAACCAAAAATGCTGCATTAATTTCCACGAGTAAAAAGCAATGCAGAGGGCAGAAATTTGCCGTTTTAAACAGCTTTGCTTGAGTATTTTTCAATGATTTAAGTCTTGCTGAAAGATGAAATTTTACTAATAAAATCTAATTATAGTTTTCTCTTGAAAGCCTGCTGTACCCACACCCTAGTCTCACTGCTACCAGCATGTGGCCTACTAAAGACACCAGCCAATCAATTCCATAAAATACTTGTTTTGCTTTAATTCTGTTTCATGAGATGCACTCAGCAGCCACCTACCAAAGCTAACACGAGAACAATGGAGATATATTGCCTATCTGTGAGGAAGATGGATTTTTTCAAAAACTATCAGTTACCAGAATCATATCCAAATCCATGCTGACTGATGTCCCTGAATTTCTGCTCCAGTATTAGGAATCATGTTTCAAGATAACACCTCTTCATTAGAAGTGCCTTTAATTATAGATTGTTTAGTTCTGATAGCTGAGTTTAAAAATAGCATAAGGCACTGACAGCTGGGGAAAAAAAAAAAAAACCTAAATTATCATCATAAATAGATTTTTAGGGAACAGCACTTATTATTAGTCTTTACAAAATCACCTTTAGTTTCCTCCTGGAGAAGCAGCAGGCTCCAAGTGAGGATATTGCTCCTACCTCATGTCTTTTTCTCCGGTTTGAGACCCTCTACCAGCCCATAACAACTCGTGATGTATCGGAATATTGCAGGCAGCAAGTTACGTGCTCCCTCCAGGACCAAACACCTCCTTACCTTTCTGTGGCCTGATGATGAAGGACTGGGTGGCTCCGTTCACCAGGCGGCAATATCCGTCTATCAGGTCAGCCATGTTCTCTGCAATGGTTAAGGATGGGGCTGTCACTGTCAGAGGCTGAAGAAGGGAGAAAACAAGGCACCAACAAAGAGGGATTATTGGAGCTGCAACCGCCGAGCACAACAGCTGCCTCATTGCATCAGCACTTTGCTCACATTTGCAAACAGGAGGCAGAAGAAGATGGGTAAGCGAAGAGCTGCCTCCAATTATAGGCGATTATTTGCACTTTGCTGGATGCCATCCTTACTATTTTGGATACATCCAACCTAACCTGCTTTCTTTACCTTCTGTTTAGCAAATTTTTATGCTGAGGTCAGAAAGTGGAGCTGATAAAACCTTCCACCTAAATGTAACATTGATCTGGGCTCATCAAACGGTTTCCTTGTCAACAACAGTTTACTGAAATTGCTTTTACGGCCATAATCACGACAATTCTCTAAAAGCTGCTTATTCCCTAAAACTCTTGCAGGTGATTTCTTTCTTCTTCTGTTTTCTGAACTTTTACAGATTTTTTTCTTTGCTCTACAAATGCAAGCTTTTCAATTTAAAAGATTAACATTAAAAAGAGATGTAGAGTGGAGAGGTGGGGAAGAGGAAGAGAGACAGATATACAGGCAAACCACTTATGTTAATATGAACACCTATCCTCCCCAAATTGCCCTCTATCCTTGTCTTGACTGTTTTCCAGCAAATAAAGCCTAATTTTACTTCCAGCCTTGTCCCTAAGTAATATTCCCTATTTCCTCTTTTCACAAGTCACTTAGTATCTAATTCAATGTTAAAGCATCACACACAGTGTAAAGCATATTATATACAGGCTATTACTAGAAAGTTGTACTTAAAAGCTAATAATTCTAAATTAAAATTCTTTATTAAAGATGACGAGTGTACAAGAAAAAAGTGAGCTACAAAGCTATTTGAGCTATAACAAGTGAGCTATAAAACTATCTGACTAGCATATTGATTGTGACTACTCATGATCACCTTTCATGTCCCTTCAAATAACAAGAAAAAATGGATTAACTATACAGAGTGCCTGGAAACCAAAATATGCTTAAATATAATTCACTGGCTGTATTACAGAAGTGAGAGAGTTTAGCAGTCTTCAGCCATGGCACTATGCACATAGAAGCAGGTAGTCCCATGCTCAAAAGATGCTTATAACAGGATTAGGCAAGACGTTTGATAAAAGGAAATAGGAGTAAAAGCTATTTAGATGTTCCTGCCATGCCCTTCAACCTCTATATGGCTTCAGGCTATCTCTAGGTACAAAAAACTTCACATGTAGCTTAGGAGTAAGAAAAAATGAGAAAAAAAAAGAGAAATCAAAGAATAATTTCTGGGCTCTTCAATCCCTGGTAAACTGCTGGCTAAAAACAGTGATAAACAGGTTTTTTATATGTATAAGTGTGAGATCTTTTAGAATAATGTATTTATCTTAACTACACTAACAGTAGAAAAATCCAAAGTGACCTTGCAGACAAAAACAGAAGCATAACGTAAAAGACAAAAACATAAGCATAGCATAAAAGACAAAAACATAAGTAATAATATACAGAAATTTTTCAATCTAATTACATTTTTTGGGGAAAAACAAACAAAAAAAGGGTTTATCACAATGGTTAATACCGTACCTCAGGTGCACCTGCTATCTTGAGTTGTAACATCCCTTTTCTGTCCTTGTCTTCACTATTTGAATACTGAATAGTCTGCACTTGATTAAAATCTGCCAGGTGAGTTGGCTGCAGAAAGGCAATGAAAAAGTGGAGCAAAATTACAGCAAAATACTTTGGTTTTACTACCAAAGCTGCAAAAGTATATGCAGACCTTGATCTTCAAGTCACACCATCACCAGTCTGTTTCCTTCTACAATTTCTTTGGGATTTGGGTAACAGTATTTACAAATAATTGCAAAATTAAGCCAGGCACCAAGTTTGCCTACAGAGGTCAGTGTTGAGTAACACAGGATGCACAATAAGCACACACAGGAAACAACCCCTTGGATTCAGGACAGAAAAGTGAACACAGCTCTTCACCATCTCTGAATTAGTTTCAATGGGAGTTGGAAATATTGCTGAACTTAAATCCTGGCTGTAAAGCTCCCACATCTTCTGCTCCCACATGATGAGTTAATGCCTGAATAAGCTTTTTACAGAATCACAGAATGGTCGAGGTTGGAAGGGACCTCTAAGGGATCATCTAGTCCAACCCTCCTGCTCCAGCAGGGACACCTAGAGCACGTGGCACGGGGCAGCATCCAGGCGGGTCTGAAGAGCTCCAGAGAAGGAGACTCCACAGCCTCTCTGGGCAGCCTGTGCCAGGGCTCTGTCACCCCCACAGTAAACAAGTTCTTCCTCACATGGAGATGGCACTTCTTGGGTTTCAACTTGTACTCATTACTCCTTGTCCTGCCACTGGCCTCCACCAAGAAGAGTTTGACCCCATTCTCCCTACATTATCCCCTCAGGTACTTGTACATATTAATCAGATCTCCTCTCAGTCTTCTCTCCTCCAGGCTAAACAGGCCCACCTCGCTTAGTCTTTCTTCATATGATAGATGCTCCAGTCCCTTTATCATCTTTGTTGCTCTACGTTACGTTGAATTTCCTGGCTAGTTTGAGCTTAACTCAAGGATGAGACCTTCCACCCTCTTCTTCTTCAGTTCCCAGAGGCCATGGCTGACTTGATGGCTTGTTAAGGCACTAAACTGAGAAAGGAAACCAAAAGGGGACTTACGTTAGCGCCCTTGTCTGTCAGGTAACTGATTCCTTCTTCTGGGCCAATCGCGAGCTCTACCGAAATAATCCAGCTTGACTTGAGGATCGAAGGAGGAAGAGAGAACAAGATTTCCACAGCGAGAGAAGAGAACATTTCGTTAATGAAAACCAGGGATTCTTCTTGAAATTAAAGCATGAACTAAGCAGGCAATCGCCTGCAGGACTGAGCAAAACCAACGAGACTCCTAAGCAGAGCCGATGCGCTGCTGTCCCCATCCTGCACTTACCCCAAGGGCACATTTGAAGCATTCCTTGTCAAATCTGTACACCGGGGAGAGGATCTCAAAGAATTTCAAAATGCTTTCTTCTCTGTTGAGGTTGGCAAATTGTCGAAACGTTTGTTGGATTAATTTTCGTAGTGTTTTGGCCTGTGTATGAAGAAGTTTAAAGATGAATTCTTCTCATTCTAACCAGGTGCACTGCATATAAGAAGTATAAGCCACTTGGTATCTCGACAGTAGTTTCTTGACCAATGAAACAGCAGACAGTTGTCAAGAGAAAAGAAGCAGTTTCACAATATGAACAACAGACTGCTGCTAAGCAATGTATACCTTCATATAAGATCTTAATTTATTTCTGTCACCAAATGTTATTTTCTTATGTGATAGGAATAACTCTCAGCTGCAGCTGACGAGTAATACAGACTATCCTCTACTGAACTCCCAGAACCTCAAAATATGCAAAATAACTGTCATATAAATAAACAAAACTAAACAGGGAAATGAAAATCAGCTAAAAGTAAAGTACAAAATCAACTTTCTCATTTAAATGAGAAAGTTGCATGTGTTAGCTATATTGCTTATCATTTTCTTAATTGCTTTCAGGACAGAAATAACTCCAGAGCAGCACCTGTCACCGTATTGATGGCCATATATACATATATACATAGTTGTACAGCAACAGGCCAATATCTGTGATAGTGGGAGAGACTTGATTACATATGCTGGAAGATATACAGGATACAAGCAGACTTGGAAGCAACTCTTTTTTTCTTAGATAATTGAATGATAATTTATTAAAAAGTATATTTGGCTACTTACAAGCCAAACCTACAAAATGACTATTTTCCCATGCCTCACCAATGCCCTAACAAATAATTCTGGCTGGGCAAAACCGAGTAAGGCATCAAGAAACTGGAATAAAGGTCCCCGTACACCAGGATTCATGGAGACGCCGGAGCAGCAGCTTCTCTCCTGCGTCCTAATCAAGAGCATATGGACGGCGTGCGCCACGCCAGCCCTTTCACTGCCCTTCACCACTGTTTACACCATGTAATGCCAAAATGCCAAGCCACATGCACAGCTGTTCTGTCTTCCCTTGCCAAAGCTTGGCTTGCACCTAAAGTAGCTGCATGGGATGTAAAAAAAAAAAAAAAACAAATAAATTAGCTTTCGTACTGCCTCTTTCTGATGCTGGCATAACAGCTTTTCTCTGAGCGTGGTTTGGGCTGACATGCTCTATCTTGACCACATCTCTATTTGCAATATAGATGAAATGTAGCACATTGGGCAATGGCTTCAATGTTTTAGCCTGGGAAAAACCTCCCCAGACCCTTTGTTGGACTGCACTTGTTTTCATTCACAGCATTACATTGTGTCTTATAGGCCATATGGGATGAGCTAATATATCAGTGTCTTTAAACTCATTGCTTTAATGACCTTTCCTAAAAAAGCTGAAATTTCTGCTGGGACAGTCACCAGTCCTGCAGAGCAGGAGAGTCATTTAATTATGTGAAGCAATCCTGAATTATGTTTAATAAGTCCTTCATACTCATTGAAAAGTGGCACCATTTTTCCTTTCCCATATTTTTGTCTTTTAACTTTTAGAGTGAATGTCTTTGCAAGGTTCAGCTCAGCTGGACTTTCTGGTAATCCTTGCTACTTCTGCTCTTTTTTCCCTGATTTCCAAAGAGCAGCTTTCTTTGCAGATCAGTGGTTTTTGGGCTCCCCTAAAACCATTTTTGGAGGTAGCTGTTTAGTTGTTTAGGTGAGGAGCCTGTCACGACAATTGGAGCGTTTAGCAGGGAATACAATCCTGTATTTCCTTAAATTAAAATGGGTTCTCTATTCATTCAGCCACAATAGTTATTTTTAAAAATGTATTGAGAGACCTTTTCTGTTTACCCTTCCATACTTATGCTCTACAGGTACATTAAGTTCTCTAACTAAATCCTCCATAAAAGCATCATTTCTTTCCAAAATCAGTTCTAAACTACGAGTTTATGGTAGTTTACTCCCATTCAAACAGCAGAGATTTCACCATGATTTTAAAATCAAGGTGGCTATCAATGCAAAACTACTTGGTGACAATTCTTCACTCCTTGTTCCGAACATGCTGAGAAAAATCTGCATTTTTTTGCTCAGGAAACAGAAACTTCAGTGGAAATGAGATCCAGTTAGCGCTTGTAATCTAACTACGGTTAACGTGAGCAGAAATTGCTGGAAATCCTCCTTAAGTGAGAGCTGGAATCAGTGGTGAGCAAAGAAAGCACATTTGGTCCATCCAGTTGTCCCCAAAAACACATTGTTCTCTTATGCGTCCCTTTCCCTGTTTTCCAAAAGCCTCATTTTACTCTTAGAAGGAAAATCTGTTATTTTCAGAGGAGCTGAGGAGTCACTTATGACTTTTGTCTGCGAGGCCACACAAAGCAGCAGCATCTTCGTTTTTCCCAGTTGCTCATCTGCTGTTTAACTAGGGGATCTCTGTCTTACCCATTTGTTACTCACCTGATTTTTTTTTCCCCTGGGACACAAGTTTACAACAACCCGCTCACGAGTCTACAGGGAAATCAGTGATGCAGTTTCCTGCCTTCTGAAGGACATTTGTTTTTGCAATAGCATGCAAGTCACTGGAATTATAATTACCTTTACTGAATCTAGTAAACTCTTCGGGAAAAACCGTCTTAAGCCAACGTCTTTCCTGAAACAAAAACACAAATGTCGTCAGCAAAAGGCATGAGCGTAAACTCAAATATAAATCAAATACTGCACGAGCATAAACTAGATGCAGACTTTAGCATAAAATCTCCATAGGACAGAGAAAAAAATGTAAGAGAAAATTCAACTGGAAAAAGATTTTTTTGTTGCTTTCTCAGTGGTGTTACGGAAAACGTTTTTATTTTTGTTTGGTCAAGAGGTTACGATCTCTTTGAAACAATAACCTTTTGCTATCTCCAAAATGAGAATGTAAGAGAACCTTCCATGCCTGCATGCTTTGCACGTAAAAAGAAATAAAAATGGAATTCAAATATTTAATAAAAAAGCTGTTAGCCAATGTGAAAAACGCAGCTTACATTCAATGCTACCTAGCAGTGCAAAAGCAAAACCAACATTAAATTCAATCTCAAAGTAATAAGAACAAAAAGTGCTATTTTTAAAACTAAGGACCCACAGTATCTACCATTTATAATACATATTAAAAGCACCCTCAACTCCAAGAAGCTGCGTGTTCACCTACAGCTGTGACACTAAGCTGCAGAAGATTATAAAACCTCCATAAATGTTAAGTCCTTTGATGCATTTCTTGTCAAATGCAAATTGTAGGCCATTTATCAGCCCGTACAGTGAGATACATCCAGCATGTTATTACCATCTAAATAATATGCAAAGACATCCTGACAAGGAATGCATTAGTTTAACGTTAAGCATTTTAGCAAGAGGAGGTGTTTTCAAAAATGAGCACCCGGCCCCACTCCCGTCTTCCTCCTCTCCAGAAATTCAGTTAAAATGACTCGTGGGGTAGCTCTTGGTCCACGCCTGCATGTAGCAAATCCAGAAGGAATCCTCACAGGGAATATAAGGAATGGCATTTCCTAGTTTTACGTTGGGCAATAGATGTATTCACTACAGGCACTACAGGTGCAGCGCAGGTGTAATCACACAACCTCCTGCAAACTGCTCCTTTTCCATCCCCATCTGTTGCAGGGGCAAAAAACAACCAATTCAGGGGGGAAAAAGGTCCACCTCGGTGCTCCAGATTAAGGACTCAGACACCTATTTTCTTATTGCCAGTAATTAGCAGCTTGGTCCTGGTTCACAAAGCTAAAAAGGCTTTATATTTAGCTTAGTAAATTCCATCTTACCCATGGATTTATATGTAAAATTGTATTGCTTTCGTACATAAACTTCAACAGGATTAATAAAATACCAGCTATGGATAGATGATTGGGCTTGTTATATAGTTATCAAGCAGCTCTGGCAACATTCCTCTCTATTTCTGCTTTTTATCTCGAAGTTACATTGAAAAAGCAGTGTTAGGAAAGCTTGATAGATTTCATCCACTCTTTCAACCCTGTGGATGCAGCTGCTGCTTCTTAAAGCTTCCAGTTCTGTCCTTGTAATTATCCTTGTTCTATGCAAAAGGCTTCACACTTACTATGAAAAAAAAAACTCCTTTTATTGTCTGAAGACCCAACTATTACAGGCTCCTTTGCAGCCTGATTCTCTGCACCCTTTTCCCATCCAGATTTGGTCTTATATGAAAATCTGATCAAGGATGAATATACACCAAGTGGACAAAGACAGGCGAGAAACAATCATACCCCGTGCAAAAAAAGGGCTTTTTACTATTGCACTCAGCTGCTTAAGTGTCTCCTGATGTAACCCAAGCTGCTGAAAACAATAAAAACACAAATAGGACACAGAAAACCCTGAAAAATAAATGTTAGAAAACCTCTAAAGGCTATTGAGGTGGTTAAGATCAAATGAGTGAGTTTAGGGGATTAGTGGCACTTTGTGCAGGCTCTTACTAGCTTTTAATTAACTGCAGCTCCTTTATGGTGCTTTTATCCTTCACCTCTCCCAGTTGAATCCTATACAAAACATATTTTGTCTCTTAAAAAAAAAAAAAGGGAAGAAAATTCCCCAACCCCAAACAAATAAAAAATCTTTATGTGAAATTCTGCTTTTCTAGTTCTGCACTAAGTTGTTATATTCTGCACATTATATTGCTTCTTTTTACCCCCATCTTTCTCAAGACCCATTAAGTGCAGACCTACCAAACCAGATGCTGCAGGATAAAGAAGTCACTGCTGAACTGGAAGCCACCCCCATTTGGGATCCTAAAGACCCTATCCTATGTTACAAATCTTAATTAAAATTGCATGTTATATGTTTTAAACCTTAATTCTTGTATCTCACTGGTTATGCAATTATGATCTTAATGACAAACTCTGGTACTTTAAAGGGTGGCCAACAAGAGACTCAAAAATACCTTTCTGAAGTCCTTGATGAAGCATACTGAAATTGTAACCACCACCACTTCTCATTTGCCTCATCTCATTTGTTTTAACCCATCTTTCAACCCAAGGTGAATTACCAACAGGCAGTCATTAATCTCACCAACTCTCTTCTTTTAGAGAGGATGAGATGAGAATTTCAGATCACACTGTTCTCCTTTTTACTACTGCCTTTTAACCTTTTTTCTCCATTCATGCTGTTCATCTTTATTATTCCTTTCTCACTTAGTTATCTATGTGTTTGATATATATTTCTATTGTTGGTTGCTGACTTTAAGCTAAATGAAATCCTTCAAAAAAATCTCATTTTAAACAGCAGAATTGCATAAATACTGCATGGTTACAGGAGCACTATCTAAAATCCATGTTGTTCTTCTAAATTAACTGATTAACTTTCAAAGGAAACAATACTTTCCATTTAAAAAGGTTAAGAAAGTTTCTAACCCTAAACTATGTCTCCATCAAGTTCAGTCTGAAATATCTACCACTAAAGACTAAAGATTTAGAGGTTCCAGCCACACAAGTCTGGACAAAATCCAAAAGCCAGGACGTGAGCTGAAACTCCTCCAAAATACTCAGTGAAAACGAACAAATTTGGCAGAGTTGTTCCACTAAATTAACAGAATTAAAACCAATCCTCAATCTACAAAACTTCTTAAGTACTTCAGACTGTGTGGGTTGAAGCCATCTAACATACAGCAACACTGAGCAACCAGAACAGTTTTAGCATAATGATGCTTCTTTAAAACTCGTGGTTCATAGGTACCAAGTCAAGGGGATAACTGTAGGATCACAGTTCAGCAATATCACATATGCAACAAATAAAGGCAAAATGATACCACAGACATCTCAAGTAACTCACACTTTACCAGATTAGCAACAGGTGATGAATGCAACAATGCAGAGAAAACCAGAAACCAAATCAGCTGGACTTGATGCCCTGTAAGCATCAGCAAAAATGAAAAAAATCACAGAAATATCCCCATTATCAAATTTAACATCTTCAGTTCTCTTCTCCAGAGCTAAATAAGCATAGAATTTGAAGAGTTTCATTGTCCTTCATTTATTTAAAATACACTTGCAGATCTCAAAAAGCTTCAAGAAACGAAAAAGGCAGCAACAGCTTTCTTTTATTATGTCAAATTTAATATTTCTGATTAAGCACTAGCTCAATCCTCAAGTCAGGGCACAATACTTACTCTAACACTTCATAGTTGGACTTCTTTTCTAATGCATTGCCTCTCATCTCTCCGTAGGATCTCCTGAAGGCAGGAAAAACAGTGGAAAGCAACGATTATTGGATGATCCAACCTAAAACTGCAGTATCTGAATATTCAAATCTTTCTGATTGACCACTAGAAACCATGTGCAGAATGAATTCAAAGCAGCTACAAAATGAATTCAAATAAATATTACAACATTATTATCCTACCTCAATCAACCAGGTATTTAGTTTACAAAATGAATTCAGAACGAAACAAAAAAAATGATACCAATAATACTGCATTTCCAGGAGCACTTTTTAAAGCAGTTCAAAGCACTCTGCCAGGTGACAAGTGATTTAATGTGTTTTTTAGCACCTCCTTCCTGTCTCCAACACCTCTGCACCAGCATTAGGGTTTGTGCATGTGAACAGTGAGCACCAGAGCAAGGGGCAGAGATAAGGGAAGAAACAAATTTCCATTTTGGAAAACTGCTGTTCAAATAAGACCTTTCTCCTTTGCTAACAAGTTTTCATTTGCCATTTATTTCTTATAAATTCTACTGCCTTCCTAATTTCTCTGCACAAGACAACAACATGACCGAATCAGATGATTCAGGCTGGAAAGTTGCTGTAAATTAGCTAAAACGAAGCAGGAAAACTTGCTCAAGAATCATTTAACTTCATAAACTTAGCTTTTTTTTCCAGTTGTCTGCACAGCTGACAAGAATGCTGAAAAAGTTATCAAGAAAAAAACGGATGCTTCACCTTTCCTGAACCATTTGTTCATTTAGCTATTTACTGAAGGAGTAATTTTTAAAATAGCAGAAGAAAAATTGAGGAAATGCACAGAGAAGCCATTGCAGCATTTATCTCTAATTACAGCAGCTGTAGTATACATAGCTGCACAATAAGACAATTTGCTCACATCTCAGATTTATTTTCCTTTTACTAAACAACGCTTTATAGGCCTTTGAATTATTCAAATGAAAATGTCACCCCAAAAGGCAGTAACATGAAGTAGTTAATTATAATTTTACTATTAACTTTAATTCAAAAATCAATAGAAATTAGTTACAATATAATCTCTCTCTTTCCTTCCAACTACTCTATAGCAAAAAAGGTCTTTTTGGTGTTTTATTCAGTTGTATTGGAAAGAAACCTATGAACTAAAACAGTTTCGAAATTAACATGTATCAATCAGAAATGTGTTGAATAATAAATGAAATTATCAGCTTACCGGATTTCGAGGCAACCTAGCTTCAAAGCAATTTCCTGGTCCACTTGATCTGCTATTTCCAACATGTAGTCATTTTTCACCTAGAGCAAAAAAAGATTTGCATCACAGAAAGATCAGGTCAGGACGTTACAGACTAAAATACCAACCAAGCAACTTTGCAAGAAAAGTGTCTTTCCTGTATTTAAGTTTTGTGGGGGATAACTGACTGAAGTGCATGAAAATAAAATAAAATACAATTCTGTACATACATATTCTCCCTAAAAGAACTGTGTTTTTGTGAGAAGCTCCACTCAACTGCAGAGAAGCTGGTGCCATCTTCAGTGGCGTCACTTTGGCTGTGATTTATTCAACGCAACCCAAATCTTCACGGGAGGCTGGAGCACAAGGTTGCACCCATGCTCAGGATCCAGCTTTTGAATCACTTTGGAATCCAGCTTTTGAATCATTTTGGAATCCAGCTTTTGAATCGCTTTGGCGACACTGATTTAACTCTAAGCTGGCATGTCTAAATTTTACATTTACACTCACGCTGTATTTTACACAGTCCTCAACTTGCTAGGGGGATCCTGCAGAACTGAACAACTTTAAGAAAAATATACAGCTTTTTCTGCTCATTGGGGGAGATATAAATTGTGACTCTAGAACTGTCAGGCCAGATTCACAACATTTAAATCTGGTATAAAATTTCCAGCCCCTCACGTTACTACCATCAAAAACCTCTGCAGTATAGATGACAAATTACAGAATTGAACTCCTTGACTGCAGGGGTCTATATGGACCCTGACTCATACAAGGGATATATGGATAGAGGGGATACACGGTGAAGTAACCTGAACATGCGAATTTAAGTGAATCAGGCTCCTGCACAGATCGCTGTGATGACCCATAAATGAACTATAACCACTTTACTTCTTTTTACAGCATCCAGACAGAGGTTTAATGAACTTTAATTGCACTTTAAATACAAGATTCTATTTCATTCTCCTACCTTTTCCGAGCATCCAGCTTTCCACTAGCTCAAGTTACTTCCCTGAAAAAGCTCAGGCACTTAATCCATCAGCCCCTCCTCCACGTACCCATACTGAGCTCCACTGGCTACTTCACCCAGCTTTGATTTTTTCTTTTTTTTTGGACTACACATGCAGTAAGGAAAGCAACCCTCTTCCAGTTAAAAAGCATTTGCTTTCTCTTTTTCATATGCAATTCCTGATCTCTGACAAGTTCACCTGGAAACCTGTTGCATGATCCAAGCTGCAAATCTCCATTTTCACGAGTTCTGGCAAAGGTCTTTTACAATCCTGCCATATAAAATCTCCTCTTGCAGAAACTCTGTTAATTTTAGTCTACTAGCATGTAACGATCTTATCTTCAGCTCATTGCCTTGGCGCTCCCAGTGTGGAAGGCAATTCATTTGTTAAAATTAGCAGCCTGAGAACATCTGCAATTTCATGCAAATATATTAAAAAATGCTGCCAGGCGCAGGTAATTGCTGCTCTGTAAAGAACTAGGCATCATTACCCAAGCATTTCTAGGCTGGTTTTTGTTTTCTCTTTGCCCTATAGTTTGGGAGCTCTCAAAATATCAGGAAACTTCACGGTGCTTTTGCAAGACAGTGCAAAATTCCCATAATAAAAATATTCCAATTTTGCAATGTTCCAATACACGAGCTGATAACTGCCTACTTGACCCCATCCTTTTGTTAGTGTGACATAGAGAAAGGTGATTTTTATTTGGCATATCTTGGTGTGGAGCATATTTAAACATATCTCTTAGTGTACATTGCGTATACGTTACACAAACCCATTTCTTTTCACAGTTTGGAAGGTTTGCAGAGAAATAAGCAGCCTCAGGAAGCCCACGGCCATAACCCTGTGCTCTAATTAGCCTGAGCAGTGCTCTGGTACAGAAGGCAAAGGTAATAAATGGATGTAAGGAACTCATTTTATCTCTTTTTTTCCAGGAGCCTTCCTACATGTGTCCTTGGAATTTCAGCAAGCCTAAGGGGGGCGGGGGGAGGCAGATTGAGCTGCCAATATTGGAATACTAATGAGAACTTCTCTTATCCCCTTTAATTCCTCTCGCCTGTTCTCTTTGATGCAGCGTGGGATCAATGCACGAACTAAGGCTCACACAGAGATGAGACAGGGACGGAGCGAGTGCTCGCGCGTGCTGAGGATCCTCTCACGGAAAAGCAAAAACAAGTATTAAATGGAGGAGGCACAACAGAATTTAATGGCAATCAAGTCCCCGCCACAGTAATTTTTCCTACCAAAGGTACCTTCATTTTTTTTTAATGTTTAAGAGAAAATTGGGTAAAAGTGAAGAAAATACTGCATCAATATAGTCTACACCTCCAGCAACAAAATCCTGCTTTTTTTCCCAACTTAGTCTCCCAATAGCACTCTAGCAGAACCTCCTTATTTGAACTTGCAGAGAAAAATACACTGGGAAAGGAAATTCAAAGGGAGACACACAAAATAATTTATTGCTGCAAAGCAGCAGGTTAATTTTAATTCTCCATCCCGCCCAGGTTCTCTGAAACGATGCAGCAAGTTTAAGTCATGCTTACCATCAAGTAGGTGTGTGCTTTTTGGTACCAAATTAGCCTTTTATTTTTACTTTTTGGCCGCCAGTGCATCCTTCATTGGTCAGCCAGAGCAAAAGTAACAGTTTTGCTGGATAGACAAATTGCTGCAACTCCTCCAACTCTTCAAAATTTCTTAGACTGGGCCGTTTGCAGCTACAGTTTAGGATAAAAATTGGAGGTGGAAATCGCACGTTTGCGAACATGGCAAAACAAGAGCCCTGTTGTAGCGCGCACAAGCTAAGGAGGGATCCACAGCAGAGCTCGTATTTGACACACCAGCTGCTACCTTCCCCGGCCATCTGCTTCCCTTTGCTGCACGAGACTTTCTCCTGCAGCTGCAGCACTCGGGGAGCCCCTTCGTTGAGGCTCGCGGGCCGCATGAACCACAGGGCAGCTCACAAAAGCACCAGGTTACGTTCAGATTTGCCTTTACTAAGAACCCGAGTAAAATAATTTTGAATACTAACCACTTTCCAGGAGTTCAGGAATCAAAAAACCTACTTGTTTTGTCCTGCTATTATATTTCCACTTTTAAATACAATTACCAAACTTTCTATGAGGTTTTCATCAGCCTGAACGACTGCAGAAACTCTCAGCAAAAACACTATCCAATGATGCCTTAAAATGGGCTACAAACCAATATTTAGCCTCTCTCCTGGCTTTCCCATCTCATTTAATGTTACCAAGGAATTTCCCACAGGATCATCTCCAATTTTTCAGGAGGACAGTTTAAAAATAAGTAATCTATTTCTCTCGCTTCACTTTCAGTGTCTATGACCTACTTACACTGCTTAGTTATTTTATTTTTTCAAATGGGCATTTGAAATAGGCTCTGAAAAGTGCATTTAACAGCAGCAAAGTACCCTCCAAAGAGTTTAAAGTGCAAACACCGAGCTGGTGATTCTTGTGGCTAATATATGTGTGTGTGTAGAAAACAAATAAACGTTAACAGGTCTTTCCCAATGAGGCAGAAAAGAAAGAAGCAGAAAACTCACAATTAGGATTAACAAGGCACAAGAAGTAGATTTCCACTACTTCATTCCCTCTGCAGCAAATGTCTTTTACCCACTTTTTTAAAGTGTTACATTGGCAGTGACTTTTATATAAGCAAAAAACGATCCTACTTTTAGCCTCCCTGGACTTACAATAATTATTCCTTCTTTCTAGCAACTCAGGGGTGTCCCTTATACGATCCTACTTTTAGCCTTCCTGGACTTACAAGAATTACTTCTTCTCCTTTCTAGCAACTCAGGGGTGTCCCTTAGAACCTGCTGTTGACCGCTCAGGAGTCCAACATGTGAAGGCCTTTTGGTGTTTGCATTTTGTATGTAGATACCTCTGTCTGCTGCATCTCCCACCAAACCCAGCACTTCTGGGGGCCAAAGCAGCCCAGGAAATTCCTTCCCATCATTAACCAATGCTTAATTCTGGCCTCTGCAACATGAAATGCAGACTACACTTGATATCTCTAGCTCAAGAGCTGATCTTTGGCCACCTCGCATATAACGAAGGACTAAAGCACCACATGACTTCACATGCAAATTTCCGTTGTGTTGTTCCTCTGTACTTACAGCAGTTTCCATAAGCAAGACCACCTGCTCAGGACTCAAACCCTTCTGGATGTATTACCAGAATAATTAGCACAAATATTGTGCATGTTCTGCTGTGATCCCTTTTGCAGTGATAAACGCACTGCTGAAATGCTGGAGGAGGCCAAGGGACAGATAAATCATTAGGTGAAAGTAAATCAGCTTATATAATCGTTTATATTTTTCATTATAAAACTGCCATAAAGCGAAGACTCCTGCACCTTTTCACAGCCTGAAGCAATCCTAAAATCAGCAAGAATAGGTTCTGGCAGGACGCTTGAGTTTTCCTCACTATGAGATCAGAATAATCAGCTCTAGATATGACTTTGCCTTGAAAAAGTATGGTCCCAACTGCTACAGTTTCCTAAACCTTGTGCAAAACTATCCCTCAAAACGAATTGGGCCCAATCTGCTTTGAACAAAGCAACATATGCACAAAACCCCAAAGTGCTGTTCTAACGTCACCAATATTTTTGGAAGCAACTTTAACGATCGTAATGACAGATAAACACACATGTGGTGGCTCCCCACCCTTACTTAGTCATCCGCTAACATTAGACTCATTAGAGGAGACAAATCCCCATTAGGGGAAAATTAAAGCCCCAGCCTTTTCCCGGGGAGTTAAAAGCACAGATTCGGTGCTGGGATAACATTCATTTGCCATCTGCCCTCAGCTGCTCCTCCTCTTCATCTTCCAAGGTCACAGTCCCTGTAGCATCTGGAGATGATCTTTGACATCGCTAACTGATTTTGGAACCCCCTGTGTTAATAATAAGGGCATTAGAGATAGGGGAGGGGAGGGGAAAAAGCAACTTTTGACAGGGTTTTGTGTGGCACAGAAGGGCTAAATACTCACCCTGCTGTTGGAGGGGCCGGTCTCCAGCTGTCGCTGCAATAGGACCTGCTGCTTCTCCGGCCTCTGATAAACTGGGGCTGGACGCAGGGGAGCCGTGGGGCACCCAAGGCACAAAGCCCCTTTGCTGAGGGCTGATTTATACTCCTGCCGTCCCCCACCAATAAACATTTTGCTTTTCCAGATCCAACGAGGCCAAGGATCAACGTGATCCCACTTTGCCTGGGGCTGCTGCTGTTATAGACGTGATTTAATAAAGAGAGGAACGAGAGCATTTTGCTCGACTGCCACAAAAGGAAGATGCATATATGGAAATATAGGGCTGGAAAGAGCTCGGCCATTATCGGAACTGCAGGATCTAAGATCATAAATCAGCCTTTATAGCTGAAAATGAGTATTTTACTAGGAACCATGAATTTCAGTAATATTAAGCAGCAGACTCCTATTATTGTTCTCATAATTACTCTTACGAGCTGTAAGGAGCAGGCAGGTGATGTGGGGGCTATTTTTCCCTTTTCAGCAGCTGCACTTCTCACATTTATTACCCCTTCCCTGTAGGGCCCTCTCTGTGTGGCCCCATTAACCCTTCCTGCAGGATTTTGGTTGTTTGTTTTAAACAGGCTGCCAATATCCAACACACCATGAGATCTTCTCTCTCTGTCCTTGATATTCTTCACAGCTTTTATTGGCAAAGTCATTTGCTTTTAGCTCTCCTATTTTTATTAGCATATAAGCGATGCTGTTATTTAATTAGGTTAAAGAGTCCAATTCCCAACCTGCATTTCAAATTATATCTCATGCACCTAATGATTAAAGCTTTTTAAAGCTTAAGTTATTAAGGTGATTGTACCTTGACTCAATATTTCTTGTATGTCAGGGACAGCATTATAAAAATGATATTAATTTACACGAGACATTTCTCTACCACCATGTAAGTGAGAATTTCCAACTACCACCATGTAAGTGAGAATTTCCAACTCAGGAACTACATTTAAAGTGGTGAAATTATCTTTACAGACAATGCAGGAACTGAACAGGGCTGTTTGTCCACATAAAATTTTGAGTCATCCTTCCTTGGAGTGCTGATTTTTTTTTCCTTTTTTAATATAAAACTAGCCACAATTGTTCAAAATTACAATTAAAAATGATAATTTAATACAGCACTAGTGCATAGTTTTAAGGACTTAGCCAGAAGATCAAAAAGTGCACATTTGTTTGGAGGTCTCAACTATCGATAAACTGTATTTTAAGAAAATGTTGCATGGCACCGAGCTCAGCTCAGGTTCTCCTGCTCCCACCTTTGGGTTTTCCTCTCTACATCCGCAGTTCCTTCTCTGGTGCATTACTTTGGGGCATTAAAAAAGCAAAGCTGAAACAGAAGCCAGTGGTTTTTTATTCTGCAATTATTTTATGTCCTTTTATTCTGTACAGGATCAGCTCCAGCACAGCTTCATGCTTCAAGTTGAGAGAATTCTTCTCCGTGCTGCACCTGACCTGTGTTGATCCAAACATTCCCCCCCCCCCGCCTTTTTTTTTTTTTTTTTTCCCCAGGGATCTAACAACCCAAAAAGTGACTTTTGAAACCTTCTGGAAGAGGCAAGCACAAGGGGACAGCTCCCTGCATAAAAGGAAGGCAATTCAAGTAGCTTATGTCTGACTCCCATTATATGAATGTGCCTTCTATCTCGCTGTGAAAAATCCAATTTTTTAGGTCTCCTCATATACTTTTAGCGTTCTGTTTAAACATTTCCTTGGAAATTTGCATGAATTCATAGAAAATTACCTCTCTTCTTTCTAGCTTTACAACATAGCCAACAGAATGAAAGGCAATAGCTGTCACTGATTAAAACCAAATCATTGACAGGGTTTTTCTTTGCCTCTGTCGTGTTTAATGGCAGTCGGGACGAGCACGAGCGATTCCAGCATTGCAAGCAAATTCCCCGGCCTTTCCCCTCGCTGCTCATTTTAATCTTTTGCTGCAGAGATTTCCAAACAGGGCTTCTCTTGTGCAAGGCCTCATTAAGCTCCCTGCTTTCCCACTTCCAATTAGGAGTGATGCCGCCCACCGCAGATGGCGGGACGGACCACTCTGCTTGGGGCTCCTTGATTTATTCAAACCTCCTGAAAATAAAGACCATCCGACACAAAGAGCCCTCCCAGCATTCTTAATACAGTCCAAAAATCAAGAAAAAAGATATTTCAGCTATTAAGTCCAAATCGAGACTGAAATGCTTGCATAAATTTATGGAGAAAGGCGCTCATTGAAGTGAATGGGAGTAGTCAAGCATGCCAAGTTACAAACGTGCCAGTTTTCTGTTTAACAGCCTGATGATTGTGGTTTAACTACGTGAATAAATGTGGCTGCTGACAGCAATTAAGGTAACATTTTGTTATCTTTACAAATGTGCTTTGTTATCTTTACAAAGGCTCTGCCCTTCCTTCTGTGAAGACAGAGGAATCACCTGAGGATTTGGCCTTACCCAAACTTTATAGCTGGTTTTTCAGCAGTATTGCTGCTCAGACAATAATTACGTGTTTCTAAAATCCATGCACATTTCAGAGGCTTCTCTTTCACAGAAAGCTCCGTATTTGTTTTCCTTCTCCAGGGCCTTTTAAATTCGATATTGCGCATTTTTAATAAGCCAGTCAAGTTGCTTTTAAGATATTATCGAGGTAACAAGAGGTCCCCAGCCACAACTTGAAAAGAAAGATTTAGTCATGGGCAGCATCTGGTCCTCAAAATCTTTATTCTCAATTACAACACGAGGCAACAGCAGATTTGACTGTTATATCCACAAAGGCCAATGTGATTGCCCAAGTGTTACTTTTTTCGTTGCTAGTGCGGTAAGGGGGCTGTTTCTCTGGAGAAAGTTCAAGGTATCTACAGATGGATGAATGATTTATATGCATTTTGGTGTTCCTGCCTATATACAACACGGTGTGTTCGATGACCCAAATCGAACCAGGGCTGAGCTGCAGCTGGCAAAAAGGGAATGTTAAATGAGAGACGCTCCAACAGGACCTGGAGATTTGTTTTTCCTGTCTTTCCATTTTCCCTTTTGCTTTAGGTCTACTTAATCAGCATTAATCAGTGCCCAAGCTCTTCTCCTGCTTCTGCCATCTTTCCATTTTCCCTTTTGCTTTAGATCTACTTAATGCTGCGGTATTAGTGCCCAAGCTCTTCTCCTGCTTCTGCTCCTTTTCTGAAGTCAGGGAGGTTGCCCTAGTAGTTAACCAGATAAGGCAACTGTAATGGCCCCAATTTACGAGTGAGACTCGCAGAGCAGAGTCAGGGATGGACTCTGAGAAGTTGGGCACTGATTCCCATGACAGCAAAGGCCCAAATACCTTGCAGGACCCCAGAGTGAAAAAGGATTATTTTATTTTATTGAGTTGTATTTAAAACTATCTCATGACAAGAAGAGAAAAGACAAAAAAGCGCTTATGGGGGAACAGCAAGGGAACAAGACTGTTTGATTTTCACTCTGTTTCCCAGAAAATGCTCCCCAGAAAATATATTCCTTTGCTACTTCAAATCCTCCGCTTGAACGAAAGAAATAGCAATGAGAGGCATAAACGAGTTGTTGGTACTGGCCTGTAGGGCCACTCTGTTGTTTTTGCAATCAAAATAAGCAAGAATCCTTTTCCTTCCCGTAAGAAGGAAAAATACCATGATCATATCAAGTATCATCAAAATATGGACATCAGAAGGGGTAAAAAAAGAAGTATCTCCTTCCCTTCCCAGGGTTGGAGCATGGGATAAAGGAGGAAGCTGTGGGTTCTTACCAGGCTTCAAAGCTGCAACAGCTGGGGGAATTTTGTTACACTATAGAAACGCCTTCCCATAAAAGAAGGGGGACAACCTGGAGAAGGGGGAAAACCTTTCACTGAATGCAGGAAATTTCTCATTTTGGAGCCCATCTCATTATCTCATGTGTTTCGGATATTTTTGAACTAGTAGAAAGGCAACAGGAAGCACCATGAAGAGAGGGATCTCTTGCCAAAACCCCTGAGGTTTGCGTAACATTATCGGAGTGTCACAAGGTTGTTCCTTTGACGCAGCAAAATGCAAAGAAAAAAGGAAAATCCCATTCCAAAACAGCTCCCACTTCACAGGGGGCAGTTATTGAGCTCAGTCAGCGCTGAGCTTCCTCCTCCTGCCCCATTCTGTCTCAGCTATGGCAATATTCCTGAAAACGACCCTTGGAAGCGATCTAGATTAAAAGCCATCCCCCATACAATAGGGCATAGCATTATTTAAGAATAAAAGGTAGAAATACCACATGGTAGGCAATTCACCAACTCACCAACATCAGTGACCCAAATTGTTGTGAAAGCGCTGACAATATTCCAGTTGTGAACAAAGACATCGCAGCAGCCAGACAGTAATAAAAGACCAACCCAACACGCAGCAGATAAGTCATTTTAGGCCTGAATTTACAGGGATTCATGGACTCTTAAAATTAGCAGACACTTTACAAATTCAAGTCCAAACTCCTATCAAAGTCACTCTAACAGAAGTTTGAACACACCTAAAAACAGCTTGAAAGTATTTATTTTAGAGTGCGAAATGAGGATTTAGGGCTATTTTTTTAAGGAAATTTTACCATTACACAGTTTTGCTAATTAGTAAGAGAGAGAGAATCTAAGAGGATATTAGGTAATTTTAAGGTAATAATTAGATATTAAATATTAGATATTATTAGTTAATAATGCAGTTGGATAAAACAATTCAACATGAATAATTTATTCAACAATGAAGTTGAATAAATACACGTGGTTGTACATAAACTGCCCGCTTATTTACACTTGCAAAAATAAAGAAATTCATCTGTCCTGGGAAACATTCCTCACCATTTCTCAGGGAGAAAGATGAGAGTTTTCCCTTTCTGTTTTATCTATGCAACCTTAAATTTTAACAAGTTCTGTTTCTGCAGCACTATTCTTTCTCCATAAACAAAACTTTACAAATTGCCAGCAAAATGAAGAGTAGCAGAACTGACTATACCTGTTGATAGAAGAAATTTAGTGTTGGCTTGTCCTCAGTGAACTGGTTTAGAAATCCTTTTGGTAAATATCGGATTCTCAATTCATATCTGGAAAGGAAAAAAAATTAAAAAGGGAATTAAAGTGACAAGGCACAAATAAGAACCAAGATTTCCTCAAAAATTAGAAACAAGTCTTCAAGGGCTCTTGAAAATAAGAGGTTTTGAAGAGATTTCTCTGCAGAGGGGTTTCTGACTTCCTAGCAAGGCAATAAGACGCTTGCGAATGAGGACTGAAGCTGTTCTCAGAGTGACTACCATATTCTACAGGTAAGAGCACATAACCAAGTGACACAGACTCAGAATTCCCCTTAATTCATGACCTATCACGAATTTATACAAAGCTCAAACTCTTTATTTCCAAATTCTAAATTTAGGGTTGCTTGCCCTGCAGGAACAGCTAATGATGTCTGACACACAGTGTGTGCCTCGTCCTCCAGTTCATCTCTGCAATGAAGCCCTGACAACTTTGAGCGAGCCTAAGTATAAAATTCTCTATATTCCTTCTGCAAAATGAGTATATTAGTTATGATAGTTATGATCACTTAGTTATGATAGTAGGAGTGAACTTTGCAACAGTTCAATCTGTCGGTATCGTCACAATGAGAATTTTTGTTGAAGCAGCTGATTTGGCTGTCTGTAATTAAGGTTTATTTGGAGATTTCGTAAGTGGTTGCTGTTGGTTTTGACACAGCAGCCTGCTGCAAGCAGAAGCTGCAGGGTTCTTTGCTTTAAAATCACTGAAAATATATATTTGTGAATCTTCAACATATGGAAAACCATGTAAAACTAACACGCAGTAAACAGATTAGAAAATTTTATAAAGAGAGTTAAAGATCTTCAGTTATTCACCAAATACAGGTGACCACCTGCAAGGGAGCAAAGGCTACCAGAAAGCTGAAGAACAGTTCCCCAATCTCTTGCTTCTAACCCCACAACCTATCTCTGAATTACACTGCAGAAATTAATACAGAATTAAACTAGTTTGCTGCATAAAGAAAAAATGACTTGTTTCCTTCTTTTTTGCTCTGAAACATTTTTAGTTGTCTTATTTTAATGTTAGGACCACGAAACCATCCTCTGAAAAGCACCCCTTCCAATTTCTTGTCATTCTTCAGACACAATCTTTCTCCTCCTCTTCCTTGTCACTCCTTTCTGTTTCCACCTTTAAGTCTTTTTTTCTTGCAGTCGATCTCTAGATACAGTTTTCTTCATCTTTTATTTTTTTTTATAACCTTATGAAACTATGCACAAGTTTGCAAACACTCTGAAATGAATGCAACAACACATAAGAACCACCCTCTATCAGCTCTTCCAGCATATTAAGAAGAAACTTAAAGAAGCTCCTAAATGCTTTGGACCTTCTAAAACATCTCTTTTTCAGCCATGCTGCTGGCCAAAAAAAACAGAGATTACTCAGGCCCGAAGAACAGCATCCAGAACTTCTCATCTCGGCTTCCTCCACAGTGTACAGCTGGATTCAGGCATCCCAATCTGGAGTTGGGATCCTACCTTTCTTCTCTGGCGTGAGAAAATAGAGGAAAAGCAGGAACCCCGCATGGCTCCGCAGTGAAGCGATAACGAGAGCTCCTTTTTGTACTGGGATCTCGTGAGAAAATCAGGAAAGCAGCTTGGCTGGGACAGTCGCCCAAAGGGACCTTTGTTATCTCTTTATAAGCTTATCGCTCGCTCCATCCAGGGGAATGAATAAGCAGCTGATTTCTGAATGCCAACTCAAGGAGCGTTTTTCAGTCTCATTGAAACCTACTGTCTTTGAAACGTGGCCTCCTGAACAAGTCCCTTCTCACAAAGCAGATCTGCTTTCTAAGGGGGGATCCCAGCTGATGAGCTCCTCCTGCTACCAAAAGGACCTGCTGGAGATGCCTGTAGAGATGCTTCCATGCATATGTTGATGTTGAAGGTTGGAAAAGTTTCATCCATCTGCAGAACAGTCCATGCCTTGTGAGGATTACCTCTTCCAGGATTCTTCTGAGATTGAACATCACTTCTACAGAGGTAGAAAATCTTTCTCTTGCTTGTGACACATGCTATGGACCCGCAGAAGGGTGGCCTTCAGAGCTGCAGTGTCGCATGGGGAAACGACCTGCCCACAGCACACAGTGCTGAGCACTTCTAGGAACTTCCCCTGGGCAAGAAGCAGCACTTAGGCAGCTGGTTAAGTCCTATGTGTGGTGACCTGGCCTTCGTATCAACACAGGGGCTTCCATACTGCAGCTACCAAAAGCTACAGGACAGCACCACCAAGCACAAGGCTCTCTTCTGGTCTTTACCTGAAGGAGCCAATGCACAATGTCTGCTCCCAAGTTCCTGCTTTACTGGCTCTTAGCTGAAAAAACAGAAGATCTCTCAAGTCTGAGACCGGAGTTTGTTCCAAAGATGTCATTTGTTACTTGAAGCTCCCGATTTTCCCTTGTGAAACAAGAAAATCTGAAACAAACTGAACACGCTCCAGTCTTTATTGCCTTTCCATTAAAAAAAAGATAGTTTGGAAGACAGTTATTCCAGAACAACTGCATGAAATCTCTCAAATTAAATCCTGCTTCTGTAGTCCTAGCCCTTGCACATCCTGAGATGAGGCAGGATTATTCCGTGTGACATTGCATACAGCAGACTCCAATGTATTTATTTCCTGAACTGTTATAAGCAAATAAACACACGATTCCAATAATTATAACTCTGATGGTTTCTGACACCATCATTTTGGAAACATGCAGGATTTTCTGATAAAGGAGGAGATTAGCTTTGCTTCCAGAGAATAGAATCAAAGGAGATTATGTTGCTATATAAACTAGTAATAAATAAACAGCTGGGGCAGAGTCACATCCCTGTCGCTGCCCTTCTCTGGCCCATTCCAGCTGCAGCACCATAAATAGCACAGACAGCCCCAAACAAAAAGCTTCATATACGGGGGATGAATTTTATTGCAGTAATTTTTGTCTGGATCCTACTGAGAGTCACCATAACAGCCAATATCTGGATTAGTCCCCCAGAATGGCTGGGAATCTACTTCTGTAGATATTGAATATACAACCCTTTTAATTAACATAATTAAAAAAAAAAGCCCGCAAGAGGTAATTAGTGGATTATTAATACTATAGGAAGCTTTTAATTCAAACACTCTTCCAAGATTTCTCTCCCCCCTTACTAATCTAAATATTTTTACAAGCACTGTCATATGATCTTAAACGCTCTGCTTTATAGTATTACAAATATGACAGCAACATTTTGATTATGCACAGCAAATCCCCATGGGTTTAAAAGGTATGTCAGGCTGCATGTATTCGATAAAATATAAAATGACACCCTGGAAAGGTAGTGAATAATTTATATCTTATCACAGTTCTTTCATGAGTATTTTATATAAATCCCTCCCACACCCTTCAAAATAATCATTTTTGTCTTTTAAAACTGATTAACTTTGTTTTGTAGTGAGCAATATGCAAGCTACATTGCAAAATATAAATGCACTTGGCACCCGTGTACTAACAAATTTGCACAGCATAAATTATCTGCATTTTATATATAACACTAGTATCATGGGATGCATTCAGGAATACCCTACTTCTAAATCTGTAATTTCTAAGTGTTATCTAGGAAAAAATTCCTGAGACACATGAGGAAAAATATTGATGCACGTGCCACAAACATGTTACAATCTACAAAATGCCAGATGCATTGAAGAGAACACGCTACATTTCTGACACCTGGGTTTTAAACATTCCCAATTTTCTGACAGATTAAAGACAGATCACTAAAGTGAACTGATAACCTGAGAACTGCAAACAGGGACATCTGCTAGTATACTATGCTAATTCCATTTGCAAGACATTAGACACAGGCTATTCACAGTAATTCTGCAGCGGATTGCACTGGTCAGCTTTAGCAACTGTATTTTTAGTAACTTTTGGACAAATTGTGGTTACAAATAGAAAGAAGCAGAAAAAAAACAAACACTCAAAACCCCTGGAAGCTTGGAAAGTTACTTTTCAGTGTTCTCTTATGACTTTACTGCTGTACCTGGCTCTGTGCTGCTGCATTTTAAAACTGAGCCTTCCTCCTCCTCTGCTTCTTTTAACCAACTGACTGCTATGAAGAAAACATCCTATCAAATGTACTTAGGCTTTGGGAAACAAACCAAAAGAAACAAATCAATATTTTCAGTTATTTTTCTACTGTTCATTACATCTAGGTCTCAGTCAGGTCCTAGTATGGGAAGGGGGAGAAAAAATACAAAGCTTGTACCTTGGGGACTCAATTCATTGGCCACTAGCAAGTTTTGCAGTTGCAGAGCAACACGCTGATCTGTTCTTTGCAGATTATATGTGTTCCATTTGATTTACATGGAAATGCAGCTGCTGCTCAGCATTTTCTTATTTTTATTTACGGAACAAGGTTTGCCCATTTAATTTTGCAGAGGCAAGCTTACACCACAGAGGGGAGTAAGATTCAGAACAAGATTCCTGCATTAAAACCGCGAAGAGGACAAAAACTTGAGACCTATCACAAGTTCTTCAGGTCTGGGGGACAATTCTGGCAAGCAGTTAGGAGCTTTCCACTCCTGTTTGGGGCCTCCTCTAAATCTCAGGCTATCCTATACCTTCTCAATTTGCAGAACCCCTTTTCAGTCACAAAATGCACCTGCAGCTCTCTGTTGTGCAATCTTTTTCTTTTCTCCCTTTGTCACCCCACTTTATTTAACCACATGAGAATTTTCTTTAATAAAGCAGATTAGAGTGTCTTTTTTTTTTCTTCCCCAACACTTATATGACTTGATTTTGGCACCGAACACACCGAGAGCTCTTACTTCCATTCCTCGGGAGGGTGGGCCAGTTCAAACTTCTCTCTCACATTGGACACCCCCATGTCCAGGTGCAGCCAGTGAACCTCCTCAGACTGCAGGTGACTGAGCCGCAACCCGTAGCAGGCCACGTTTTTCACCTTGTGACTGTCCACAATCTTCTGAATTATGCCCTAAAACAGAGAAACACACACGTCTTATAAGCTGCCAAATGCAAAAGGTATTTAAAGGAGATTTTTTTAATATAGCTGTGGCATTCCTTATGCAAAATGCTAAGCAACAGAGCAGACACCACCTGCAAGAAGACTAGGCATGTTAAAGGAAGGCTTTATTTTCAGACAATCATTTACCACTTCTGAAGATTTGCCGGCGCACGCTCAAAGAGCTCATGTAAATACATCTCCCTGCACCTCATCGGAACTAATCCATGTAAAGCAAGGAACATTTGCCAAAATCCGAGCAGCAGATTTGTGGATTAAAGGGACATTATTTGTTTAAAAAAAACAAGCAGCGTCATCCTCCTCCATTCGGTGATGGCACTACCACAACACCTTCGTCTTCCAGGGTCAGGAGAGGACTTCCTTCCATAGTCCTCATGGATACAAGACCTCTGCTTGGAGCAGGATAGAAATAAAGAGCAAAGCACGAGATACTTGAGGAGACAGCATCACTTCCAAGCACTTGGGTAGCTCCTTCACCCACGATGAGATTTTCAGGTGGCCGCTACCTACCAGGCGCACGAGTGGCACTTGAGACCTGGTGGCCAGGAGGAGCCCGGGGACAGGGACACCAGGATGAGCAGATACTGGAGCAGTTACCTAATCAGCCAGGTTAGATGCTCGTTAAAATTAAATATGATATAAACAAGTAGTATGGGGTAAAGGTGGTCAAGTCCTTGAAACTGCATCCTGAACTCAAAGAGGATGAACTGACGCTTTATGTAAACCAAATATATGTGGTTTTTAAGATGGTCTGTGTGTTATTTTAAATCAGGAACACCTGTGAAATCACTCCACATACTTGAACCTGGAGCCAGAGTAACATGCTCCCAAGGTGACGCCCAGCCTTGTTTCCCCACTTAGTAGAAAATCTCCTGCGCAGAAGAAGTCTTTGAGTAACATCTCCCATTTAGGGACGCTGCGTTAATGCTTGTGAATCTCTTCAAATACGTCAAATGATATTTATGCATTAGGTGTTACACTTCTGGCAAGAAATTAAAATGAAGAGAAGCAAACACCTGAAGCCTGCTGCAAGTTAAGACATAAAACTTCCTCAAAGCAAAGCTCCAGAATCACTTCACCAGAATTCAGGCTGTCCTAGGACAAGAGCGAGAGCAAAGGCCTCATCCTCTGATGCTACCAGAAGCTGCTCCAGCTTCCTCACTATTAAGTATTTACAGCAGGTATAGTTTTCTGGAAGGGTTTTTAACCTCCAGGACTCGTTGCCGAGTAATGAGAAACAGAAGAGAAACAGCAGGGAGTTGTGGCTGGAAGACGGTGGGGAAGAAGGTGGAGGCTACATTAATCTCAGTTTGAAAGTCGCAGCCGCGTTGCGAAGCCCTATTCTTTCAAAGCCAGAGCGCTTCCTCAGATCCAGGCCTACAGGTTAAATTCTACAGCAAGTGGTGGCTTGAAGTCCACATTGTGGATCTAGCTCCTACTTGCAGAAAAATGTCAAAGGGCTACTTAGAGCTCTTTAGAAAAACTAAACTGTTTTGCTTGCCTCTCTCATCTGAGATGAGAGGCCTGTGCATTACTGCCTCACAGTTCCATCATCTCAAACATATATTATCTCCATACATAGATATTAGAGGCTGAAATCTAGCCCCTGATTCGACAGCAAACTTGGATTGTCCCCCAAAATCACATCTGGCAGAGTTCTGACTCCTGCTAATGTTCACAGGCCCTTTTCACTGAATGTAGAAGAACTGTGTGTGACCAACCTCCTGCTCAAGTGCATTATCAGAAGGGTCTATTTTAAAAGAAAACACCAAAAGAGGAATTCTGCTGTCTAATTGACACTGACCTTCAAAGCTGGCACCAGATACACCAGCACAGTCCTACAATGTACAGAATTCTCCTTAATTCTTCAAGCAATTGGCTTACTTTAGGAGAAACCTAAATAAGGAGTATCTGAACCACTCAGCAGTGTCTGTTTGACTTTTGGCTGCCCAGAGGTGGGCTACGCAGGTGGAATCATTACTAGAATATGAGAATAAGCCTCTCCCGGACTGAAGATAGATTGGCACAGCATTAATTCTCTTTTGGCCACAAAGGTAGAAAATATGCTTGTTTATATGTAAGAGGAAACCAAGATGTCTGACTAGAAACACTTGTCTGACTAGGATCACAGAATGACAGAAGGGTTGAGGTTGGAAGGGACCTCTAGAGATCATCTAGTCCAACCCCCCTGCTCCAGCAGGGACACCCAGAGCATGGGGCACAGGGTGGCATCCAGGCAGGTTTGGAAGATCTCCAGACAAGGAGACTCCACAACCTCTCTGGGCAGCCTGTTCCAGGGCTCTGTCACCCTCACAGGAAAGAAGTTCTTCCTCACATGGAAGAACTTCCTGGGTTTCAATTTGTACCCATTACCCTTTGTCCTGTCACTGGCCACCATCGAGAAGAGTTTGGTCCCATCCTCCCTACAATCACCCCTAAGGTACTTGTACATGTTGATCAGATCCCTTCTGATCCCTGAAGAATTCGCTCTGGAATTTTATTCTCCTCTGGGAAGGGGATCCAGCATTGACATGGTCCTTGACTTCAGGAACTTCCTCAGCCCCATCGGGTTACATATATCTTCATCCTTAGTTAAGGATGAGTAATAAGTAAAAAGTCCTTTTTACTTCAGCTTCCTGAGTTCTCATTCTGTCTGCCTTAAAGACAAGGTTTGGGGTGATACTGCGTAGAGGAGGGAGGAAAAGGCATCTTTGATGTGAGCAGGCTAGATGAGCCACAGACTAAGGACCTTTACCAAAGCCTTCTGTTCGTACCAAACAACGTGGTTTGAGATTTTGGGTTCTTACCACCACGCGCATCTTCGCTTCTCACAACTATTATTTAAGAATCACCAATCAGGTTTGATGGCTCTAAGTTTAGAGGAAGGTTCAGTGGATGCAAAGTGGGAACTTATGGAGCAGGGATGTGAACCATGGAGCACAGCAGCACCTCTGGTGTCAGCCACCTAGATGGGACTCTCACAAGGTTTTAAAATGCTTGATTTCTAAAGATAGTAATAGAAATTTGTTAAATATCAATGGTGCCTTTGTTTATCTATGAAATATGGTCGCTGTAATTCTGCATTGATCATATATATGTGTGTGTGTGTGTGTATATATATATAGAGAGAGATTTTTTTTAATTGAGCATGTCCGTAGCATGACACCAAGGAAAAGAGAAGAGGATAAAGAGAGTAAGTCAGCTCTCTGCAAACCAGAAATGTACTTCCAAGAACTGCAAAACTTTCCTGAACCCTTTGCAGAAGAGAAACTTCAACTTGCCAGCAGACAGCTTTCTCCAAAGTGCTCAATCCACCCAGAAAAAACAAGAGCTCCACAGCCAGGAAGATCTCACTGAAGCAAAGTCCAGCCAGGACATCAGCCGCTTCAAGACAAACAGCAAGGATCAGCATCTCCTTGTAGTCTCGCCACTGTGGGAGGATCCTACAAGAGGCCAGGTGCTGTTTTTTAGCAACAGTCAGGAGCCTCTTTATTAAAAGGGCTTTGCTTCAAGATCAGGGTTTTACGTGTGATGTGCGGCACTGAAGAGGGCAAAAGTCACTGCTTCCATTCTGCTTTTTGGAAATTACACAGGACCTTTAAATAAATATATATATGTATACTGGAGAGGGAAGGAAAGAGGAATAAAAAACACTAGTCCTTTTCTGAGGGCTTTGACAGCTAAATACAACCTTTCCATTGACAAAAGCAAACTTGACTTGGCTAAAAGTAACAGCTGTTAGGTTAAGCAAACATGAGAAATCAGGAAAGAAAAAAAATCTCATCCTTACTTTCCCTTGGTATAAGGACTTTCCACAGGTCCTTCGCTTTAAGAGCAGAAATACCTTTAATGGCCATAGGCCAGTCTGGAGGTTTCAGCCCAAGTCAGATTTCCTCTGCAAACTGGAAAGGTTCCTCGGCGGTGATCCCAGAAGCCGCATGCTAACCAGGGAGAAATCTTGAAAATAACTTTTTATTTCTTCCTTGCAGAGCTCTTTCAAAGACACCCCTGAATATGCTTGAAGAGCTCCCTGGAAACAAGTCCCAAACCAGCCCCCATCTCCTTTCTGGATCTTAATTCAGAAGAAATGGAAGCTCTGCTGCAGACTGTCTCCTCCCCAAAACAGAGGGACGGTATCAGGCATTAAAACCCTAAAGGTTATTTTCATTTTAAATTATTCGGCTTGCTTTAACAGCAGTCATTTCAAAGGAATGTGGGCTTGTTCTCCAGTGACAGTTTACAGTTTCTAAAATAAATGTCAAGACATGGCAATACATCAGGGCTCGATCATTACTGCAAAGTACCTGCACATTTCAGCAGTCATTGTACCATTTTCTCAAAATTTTAAATATCCTTTTTTTTTAATTTCAAGGATAAAGTATAAGCATGACCCTCCCCAAAGATGCATTCTTCTGTTTTTTTAGGAAAGTGCAAAAAAACTGCTGCTTTTAGAAACAAATATCCAAATAAAAATTATAAAAGGGCTTATATGAAAACTAAAAATTAAGACAAGCCTCAAGCTTGTTGTCTGTTCTTTTGATTCGGGTTTTACAAAAATTCCAAGAAGTTTGTGCTTTAAACAACAGTACATAACTCTGCAAACTGAACTCAGCACTGAATTCCTTACAGGCAGAACAAGTTGCAGATACTAAAAGCCCATAACCACAGGTATTTTTGAGTTGGAGAAACCAGAGATGTGACCTCTGCTTTTGAAGTTTTTTTGAAGTTTCTAGATATTTTGTTGGAAAGACCTGAACTTAGAGTACTATATAAATAAGTCTTGCACATACTTTCTTGCAAGCAAGCCTAAAGACACACCAAGACTCACTATACCCAAAATTACATTTCTATATCAAATGCATCAATCACAGAGATTATATGAAAGCAATATAAAGACAGGAATCAAAGAGATTTTAAGTGACATTCAAAAATCCCTACTCCATGGAAAATAAATGTATATGTATTGACAACAATAATTCTGATTGCACTTCTACAACAATTTCTCCACTCTCCAAGATATCCCTAAACACACGTGAGCTTATTCAGGCTGACACGAAGCAGATTTTCTGAGAGTTCCAAATGAAAACCATTGAATTTCAAAAAATTTACTTAGAAATGCTGCTCATTCTATTCATGCACAGTGATGCTAGAAAATAAACAGCAGGAAGAGAAAACACGCAAGACTCCTTCACCTTTTTCATTAGTTTTCTCTTGCGCAAAGGAAAATTAATAGTGGGTGGAAAGAAAGAACAGATCTCCTGAACTCTGACTACTCTCTCCTTTCAGCAGATCAGGATTAGGTCCTTAAAGTGCAGACTGAAGTAGTGTACAGAGAATAGCAGTGATGAAAGGATAAGCAGACAGGAGACTACTGCAGGGAGAACCTTGCAATGAAAAAAGCAACTCCCACCAGCACCTCCCATCATGCAGGGTTCTGCTCTTGGGGGAAAGTTAAAAACAAACTGAGAAGTTTTTAAAAGATCAGGCATGTTGCAGGGAGCTCCTTCCTGCTTCGTTTCAGTTTATCTCAAAAAACAAAAAAAGTGTAGTAAGTGGTCAGCGAGGGCCTCAACTTTAGATTAGTTACCTAAAACTTCTACCTTAACTTCGCTCCTCAGAGCAGATACTGTGTTTTCATGCACTCATACATTTCCATGCATCTCTAAGACTATACAGACTTTAAAAGATATTCTTAAAAGAAACTCAACCCTATTTTTTTGTGTGTAGATTAAGCAAACAGACCACACTACAGAAATAAAAGCAGGTGGGAACAGGGTCTGCAGTAACAACAGTGCCATTTCTCCACACTGCCGTGGGGCACAAGACCCATTTTTTTTTCTTTAAAACAGCGAGTGGAGGGTTATGTGCATGAAAAAAAATATTTAGCCTAAAAATGACAAAAGCCAGATTTAGGAGAAGGCTAAAACCAGACTTACTCGGACATCAGTAGCATCTCCGTGCCGGATAATGCTGGCCCACGTCGTTGGTTCACTGCTGTTTTCGAAGTAGTGAAAGACCTTTAAGACTCGTTCCATGGTCCCCGGGGAACGCTCCATCCCACTGCTGAGATGCGTCTTTGCACTCGAACTTGGTGTGTGATTCAAGTTGGGATCGAGGTAAGCTGCTGCCATCGTTTTGCTAGATGCTAGGTATCTGTCATATTCTAGGAAAGAGAAAATAAAATAAATGTATATCTAAATCTTGTGCTGTTTCATATAAAATATTTATTTGCCATCCTAAGAGGCTCACTTTTTAAGTGATAGTTTATTGATTTTTTAGCCCCTGCCATGTACATGCATCCAAAAAATTAACACTGTTACCACCAGAGAAATTGCAAGTGTCTTTTTCAACAACTCATCTCTATTCAAATGACGTGACGTCACTTCTCAGACAAGATTTCCTTCTCTATTTTCTTAATGTCTTAACACTTTCCCAAAGCCTTTGAGACCCAGAGCTGCTCATGCTAACAGGCTACTCGTGCATGCTCAAGGTTCACTTAGACTCAAATAGTTAACTGCCTTCCAGTTTTAGCAGGAGTTTGCATCCCAGAAGCTCTTCTAGCCCCTCCTCGAAAAACCCAACAAGGATCAACACATGGAAATCCTGACAGGGCAATCGCCAAATGGAAGGTTTTGCACCAAAATGCTGCAGGTCAACACTAGGCTCTCCTGGCTAAGCGGAGGACACTCGCAAATCACTCATTTGGGCCTGTTGTGAACACTGTCTATCCAGAGTGGTGCAGACATTCATTCTTCCATCAAACACTAATGAAGAACCACGAAGGACAACATTGAGTCTCCTTCTCTGCAGATCTTCAAAACCCGCCTGGATGCCACCCTGAGCCACGTGCTCTACATGTCCCTCCTGGAGCAGAGGGGGTGGACTAGATGATCTCTGGAGGTCCCTTCCAACCTCAACCATTCTGTGATCTTCCCCCTCTGCTCAGCTCTGGTGAGGCCGCATGTGCAGTGCTGGGTTCCCCAGTACAAAAGAGACAAGGAACAACTGCAGAGAGCCCAGCAAAGGACTACTAAAATGATGAAGGACTGGAGCATCTCTCATGTGAAAGGCTGAGAGCTTGGCCTGTTTAGCCTGAAGAGAGGGATGACAGGACAAGAGGCAACGGCCACCCACAGAAACACAGGAAGCTCCATCTGAATTTGAGGAAAACTTTTTTGACTGGGAGGGTGACAGAGCCCTGCAACAGGCTGCCCAGAAACAACGAAGTCTCTTTGGAGATACCAAAGAGCCACCCGGACACAACCCTGGGAAACGTGTTCTAGGTGTCCCTGCTCAAGCAGGGCGGCTGGACTTGGTCTCCAGACATTCCTGCCAACCACAACCATCCTGTGATTCTCCCAAATACTCTCCCAGCATCTTCTCCTTGGGGAACCTGCCTGCTACCTTCTTCATAACCCTTGACTGCCTCTGGGACCAAAAAGTCAATAAGCTATTACGGCTTTTGCACCTAGTTTTATTGTTCTCCTTTCTTACTAGTGACTGGCTTAACACTTTCAAGCCCATCTTATACTCAGCTTAAAACCTCTCCTTCTATCCACACTACATCACTGGATAGAGATCAACATTTTATTACGACAACCTTCACCCCTTTGAAAGAGCAAATGGAAAAAAGATGAGACACCAATTGCTATGGACAGTCGTCCTCTTAACCAGCATAACCCAGGCAAAAAGCTAATGCAGAGCTAGTTTTTGCATAGAAAAGCTTCATGTTGATCCCATTGAGGAAAAAATCTGGGATGAAGCATCAGCTGGACATGACCAGGTAGAAGGTACTGTCCATTTTCAATTTTGAAAATGGCTGAGCACCAAAGATATCAGAGTACAGAGCTGCTTAAAATATTTTCTAATTTAAACTTATAAATGCAGTTTTTCTTCAGGGTTTGACCAACTTTGGATTCTATGCAGAGTCCTGCACCTGGGGAGGAATAACCCCAGACACCAGTACAGGCTGGGGACCGACCTTGTGGAGAGCAGCTCTGCAGAGAAAGACCTGGGTGTCATGGTGGACGATAAGTTGACCATGAGGCAGCAGTGTGCCCTCGTGGCCAAGAAGGCCAATGGAATCCTGGGCTGCATTAAGAAGAGCATCTCTAGCAGGTCGAGGGAGGTGATCCTGCCCCTCTACTCAGCCCTGGTGAGGCCACGTCTGGAGTATCGTGTCCAGTTCTGGGCTCCACAGTACAAGAGGGATGTGGAGCTGCTGGAGAGAGTCCAGCACAGGGCCACAAGGATGATCAGGGGCCTGGAACATCTGCCCTACGAGGAGAGGCTGAGGGAGCTAGGCCTGGTCAGCCTGGAGAAGAGAAGGCTGAGAGGGGATCTAATCAGTGTCTATAAGTACCTCAGGGGAGGCAGTGAGGAGGATGGTGCTGGTCTCTTTTCAGTGGTGGCCACCAACAGAACTAGAGGAAATGGCCACAAACTGAAACACCCGAAGTTCCACAGGAACTTAAGGAAAAAATTCTTAACAGTGAGGGTGACAGAGCACTGGAACAGGCTGCTCAGCGAGGTTGTTGCGTCTCCTTGGACACAGTCCTGCACCATGTGCAAGGTAGGCATAGTTAACGACTTTTATGAAATCGGCCCAGTTATTTTAAGTGATATAAAAAGGTAAGATTATGCTGCTTATTTGAGCTCTTCTAAATTCAAACCAGATGGGTTTGTAATGCTGTCACTGCAGATCTTATTTTAATAGAGCAGATTTAGTTTTCTTGGTATTAAAACGGAGGAACAGGATGCTAATAGGGAGCAGAAACAACTTCAAGTGCATATGGGCACTTAATTCTGCAAGGAGAATTAATTCTGGTGTATTTTACTGGATATTGCTGTGCTTAAAGAACACAAGGATGTTGAGAGTGATGGGCTAATATCAAGTCTGGCCCAAATTGTTTGTATGTGAGGCCAACAACCCCTTTGAGCAAATTCTACTGCTCCCAAATCCTCAAACCTGATAAAATACACCTTTATTTCTCAGTATTGCTAGGCTGGAGGGCTGGGGAGAGGAATGGGGAAACAAAACATGCAGGGCTCTTGGCTCTCTGATATTTAGTGGCTCTGTTAACATATCGCAGGTGTTGTCAAACCAATGATGTAAATCATTATTCAGACAATTTACAAGGTCAAAGGGTACTTTAAGCTTTGCTTGTTTTTAGTGGAAACACTGTACTTAGCTTCTCAAATTAAACACAAGAAAGCACCTCTCACTGTTCTCCCTATTCCTTTTTCTTCTTTATTTTTTCTAAGACACAATTTCTTTTTTTTTTTTTTTGTTCCCATTTTCTTTATTCAGGCACGAGTTGCACTGGGAAAGTATTATAAAACTGGTTATCTGTATTTCTTCTTACGAGCACTCCATATTCCCCATGTTCTGTAGACACCTCAGGAACAAAGTCAAGTTTATGACTTTTCACCTAGTAGAAACGATCCAAGTTCAGGCTTACATTTCCTCACCAGCTCCCAGCGCTCTGAAACTCAATTGCTTCCAGTAAAGAGACACTCAAAGAATATCATACAAGACATTTAAATCAATTAATTTTTAAAAAATGTTTAATAAACTTGTAATAGAGTTATCCTAATCTCCTAAGGGAAATCTTTCCAGTGCCAATAACATCTTCAGTACAAACAAAAAGGAAGAAAAGCCCTCGCTCTAGGAGTGGCAGATGGCCAACAAGAAGGTGTTAACAGGTTCCTGCAACACTGAACCGGGCTGCAATTACTCACATGGCAAATCCACATTGCCTCCTGTAGACATTGTGAAGTCTTCTAATATACGTTACTTAATCTCCATATCCTGATTCCCATCTCAGGCCCAAAGATATGGATGTCTAGGAGATAAAGTCCCCACTAAGTCTTGTTTTCACAGAACAACCTCCTAATTCCTTCAGAATTAGGGAGATGATTCCTTCTGTAAAACATCCAGAACTACCTTTCACGCAAAGACAACCAGCCCTCATACTTATTTCTTTCCCTGCTCCAAGCGTAAAAATTCTACCCTACTTAAACACTGAAGCACTTTCATATTTCTAAAATACTTGAAGTTATTAAAAGCAACAACCCCGTTTGGGTTTCCTGCAGCTTCAGTAAACAAATAAGACCTTCTAAGTTACCTTCCCTTCCTAACTTTGATTGCAATAAAACACCGAGAGATATCATTAAATTTATTTCTCAGACTGTTTTCTCAGCAAATACTGGAAAAGAAGCACGCTAGGTGATTTCATTTATTTTCGGTAATCATTTCTCTCCAGGCTCAAGGACGGTTTGTGAGCAAGCACAGGTGGCAGCTGGCCTGCCTGCACGAAGAAGGAGCTCCTGATTTAGCTCAAAAATACAAGGGAAATAAATGTGTGCTACTAATGGGGCAAGGGACCTGGAATAGACTGTGGTATTCAATGCCTTCCTCATGTCAATCTTCATGGATAAGATCTGCCTTCAGAAGAAGGCAGCCTTCTTCATCCTCAGAGTTGCCCAGTGAAAGGACAGAGTAACGAGCACAAACTGGGATCCAGGAAATTCCTTTTAGAGATAAAATTAAACATTTTTACTGTACAGTGGTCAGACCATGAAACAGGTTGCCCACAGAGGCTGTGGCATCCGCATCCTTGGAGTTATTTCCAACTGCACTCGCTTCTCAGTAACCTGCTCTAGTTGACACTGTTTTGAGGGGTCAGCTCTAGATGAACTGATGACCTAAACAACCTAAACAGGGCCCTTCCAACCTCTGCTATTCTGCGAGATGGTGATTCAGATTGTAAATTAAGAATTTCACGCACACATTAAAATCCCTAAGGAGTTATCCATAATGTGTCTCACGTCAGCCAATAAACAGCCGAGAGCTCATTCCGTTTTCACAGTTGTTACTAAATCCTCCTGCAGCTCCCCATGCAAATATTAACTTCTCTATCTCAGCCTCACAGAGAGTATAGATGGTAGGTACAATTTTAAACTATTTTCTTCATAAATCTTGTATTTCATACAGTCTGTATAGAGTTTTGCACATTGCTGACTCTTTGGTACAGCGCCGCCTGAAATGAATTAAAAAATAAAATCACAAGATTTAGTCCCTAGGCTGGACATAGATGACTCCCTAAAAATCCTTCATAGTGGCACTTACAAAAATATCTTTCTTCTAAGAAAACATTGTTC